ACATTAAAAAGTTAGTAAAATTATCAATGCTTCTTTTAATAATGGGCTAAAGACCCCCCAAAACCCCAAAACCCCATAGCGCTGAATATTATGATAGAGTAGTCATGTTTTATGAAATAAAGTTTAATATGTTTTGATCATTAGAAATTCAAGCAATGATTTGAGGAGTAACACTGACAGCAAGGTAGTTGTCGAATGATTGGAACTGTGCATCAATAATCTTGACAACTCCAAGGAAGGTGTCTGGGAGTACAAATGGATTCTCAAGAAGCATATTGTTTATGAATGGGATGGCAGCTCTACTGGCCACATTGAAGAATGCCTTGAACTCGCTGACATTGAAGTCACCAATCTTAGATTGTGAAGCTTAGACTTGGTCTATAGCACACTTTTCAACTTAGATCTTCAAGTTAGTCTTATCGAGAGAAACATTGATAGTTGATGAGAAATCTTCAAATGAGATGACAATAGCAGTCTCATTGTTCACTTCGAAAGTGAGATCAAGGTCTAGCAAAACTCCAAAATCATTCTTTTAGAAGAGAGCGTTGGGAGATGAAGTGGATTTAAAGCCAACTGAAACTGGGAGATCTTTTCCATACTTAGCTTCAATACCTGGAAGAAGGCCGTCAAGGAAGGTAGTAGTCAGCATGGATGCAAATTTACCTGCGATTGCTGGGTCGAGGTGATACTTGAAGAGATTCATTTCCTAGAGTGCAGCGAATAAGGAGTCTGCAGTGTAGTGTGACACTGAGAGTTCAACTGAGTTAGATGTGGCAGGTAGCATTTAGACATCAGCAACTGCAACAGCTGGGATGTAGTAGGAGCCTCTTGAGGAGTCGTAAAGAGTGGCATTCAAGAAAAGATCCATATTGGAATCAGTGATCTTTGGCTAAGCGGGGAATGTGAAGTCAAGCATGATGTTTCCATAAACAGTCTCGCGGCCATTAGTGCTTGCAAGAATCTTATTGATTGACGATTTAGCTACATCTGGGACATCTTTGTTGACAACCTTAGTGATTTCGTAGATGATCAGTCTCTTGAATATGAACACGAAGGCATCAGCGATATCTGCAAGAATGCTGCCACTAAGAGTTATGTGTATTTTGGAACTGTCAATATTCAAGTTGAAGTTCTTGATATCAACGGCTGGGACACTTCTGCCATTAATGTTTTGGCTGGTGAGGGGCACAGCCATAGTTAGCTTGACAGCATCATTGTCCATAGCGACCTTGAAGTTGCCACTGGTGTGAATGAATAGGAACTTGTATGCAAACTTGCCAGTAATCTCTCCTGAGATATCATGAGCATCGACGCTTACTCCGTTGTTAGCTCCAGAGAAGCCAACTTTGATGTTGTCAAAATTGTTAAACTTAAATTTAAGGTCAAGGTCCTGGACGCTTCCTCCACTGAACTCAATGGTGCCTACCTGTACATCGTTCAATTTCTGTTGAATGATGGGCATGCCGATCTTCTTGACTTGATCTACAACTCCGATACCAACACCTGCTGCTGTTCCAGCAAATTCACTCATAACTAGAGTGGAAAGTGATAATAGGGAGATAAGTAAAAGTGCTGTTTTACTAAGGATTCTCATTTAATAGTTTGATATTTGTTTATAATATTATTTTATCAAGAATATTTAGATATCCTTTAACAATTTATATTGTATCTATATGGGGTTTTGGGGTTTTGGGGTTTTGGGG